TATCTATCTATCTATCTATCTATCTATCTATCTATCTATCTATCTATCTATCTATCTATCTATCTATCTATCTATCATCTATCTAATGTAAATCACCTGGTGAGAAAACAAATTATCGAGCACACTCGATTAATAATTAATGAGGATTAATACTAGATTTCTAATTGCCTAACAGTAATTGTGATTGCAACAAATTTCACAACCTTTTCTCTCCAGAAATATTTCCATATTTAGTGACCTGTCAAATAAGAAGTGAACAATCTTCCAAAACTTCCCTATCTGTGGATTAAGAAAGGCATTGATAATTCAGCTAGTTATATAATATAAAAGGAATATCATATGATGTTTTTGAAACGTTCTGAATCTTGTAAATTACCTCAATAAAATTGTAGAGGAACACTGTGAAATTTTTCTTTTAACAGGGAAACTATTATCCTTGGTGAAATAAAAGTCTCTCCTATGGATTTGGAAAAGGTTGTTCGCTATGTATTTAGGATGAGACAGCAGTTTTCCATACATGCCATTGTGAACAAAGAAGAGTTTTTGACTAAATCACACTGAATATCAGTATTAAATGTCCAGTGTTTCAAATTCAACATGAACACAGAATATATTTTAATTTATACATTTGTCTATTCATTCTATCATCTCGCTCTTTATCTTTTTACCTAATTGTTCATTTTATTAAAGGACAAGCTATTATAAACAATTAATTGCATCCAGATTTTTAAAATTATTACTGCCTACAGTCAAATTGCTGTCTCATTCTATTTTTTTAAAAAACACACACATACCACTTAGGTATGCAATTTTCCAGTGTTAGAGCATACTTCTGATTGAAATAAATCATGGTATTGTCATCTTGCATAGGGAAAAATATTTTGAATGAAATAAAATTACTATTGTTACTGTAAGAACTTAACTGATTTTTTGTTTACCGTCTCTTTGCGCATCTGTTGTGTCCTAAGATTTTGCTCTTTCATTCACATAATATTTGTACAATTTGGCAATATCAACCTAGTGTTGAGAAGTTCTGTCAAAAATAAACTGGGATATCTTGTCTTTTTGGTGTTTGAAATGTTCACGCTGCCAAGCTGATTCTAGATTGCTTAAAGATGTTCGCACAAAAAAAATTCTCACACTTTAATACATTTCCTCTTTTTAAAGATGTTGATGAATTAAGCGAAGACATGAAAGAAGGTCTCAGGCACCTTGCTAAGACTCTGCAGCTGTATTTGAAGGTGGAAATCCAAGATGTTTCTCAGCTTTTGCCGGCCTTAGATATTTTTCAGATCTTTGCAAAAGTAAGTGTTAAAAGAGATGTCTGAAAACTCTGAAAATATGTAGTCACTATTCATATTTTTTGTGCTTTCATGTTCTTTGAAAGAGCTATTTTAAACTGTAATACACTGCCAGATATCAGACTGAGTGAACAGTAAATTTATATGCCACTTCAGCAATTACAGATTCTCCTCTCAAGGTCAGTATATTTTTTTCTACTAGAAAGAATTAGCATATTTTTTTAAAAAAATATGACAAATTACATACTGCTAACATTGAAAAATAACATAAGATTTTAACATTAAAAACATTTATATGTTGCTTCTGAAAACATAGCTTATGCATTCCTTTTTGTTTGAAATTGGTATCTCTATTGAAAAAATAATGTATCACAATGTATATTTAATGCTTACTCACTGTGATGTATGCCTTGCACTTGTTACCCAGCATTAGAAATTTAATTATTTTTTTCATCTCAATATAAATGTCAGGGGAGGTTAATAATGTTCTACTGCATTTATTATCACCTACTATTTGCTTTAGATAACTGAAAGGGTGACTACATGGGATAATTTTGCAATTTCTTATAGCAAAATACTACAGCTATAATATACTGTAAAGTGACTTTACAGTATATTACTATTACTATTAATCTTCCCATCCTTCCTTTCACCCATCTTCTCTCACTTATGACTATAACTTTGTTGCTTGTATCCTTACGATTTTTATTCATTGTTTCTTGGTATGGTTTCATTTATGAACAGTTTTTAGTAATTTGTATAGTAAACCATACAAGTCAGTTACAGGCTATTTGATGTAGGTGCTTTGGGAATGAGAATAAATCTATAGCAAGATGAAAGAGAAAAATTAGCAGCCCTATGCAAAGGTTACTAATTCCTGACATATTTTAGAAAAATATATATCTAATAGAGATTGAAATGAATCTACTTTAACCTCCCCCTTTTCTTTCATCCTTAATAACACCCAGTGTTATTATTATAAATATGCTTAGTTTTGCTGCTATACCAGGAACGTCATTGGAAGCTTGGAATGAAACATATGAAAACGAAAGTCACAAAACAGAGTTTTATTCATGATAACATGATAATTAATAATACCCTAAAAGAGATACCATCTATCTCCTGTGGAATTTAATATTGCAGGTTGTTTGTAACAATAAATTATGATTAAACAAATTTTTCTTTAAATACATGGTAAGCATAAAAAAGCTAGTTAGAACATTCCAAAATAATTTGTTACTGTAAGCACAGTAACAAATTATAAAAATATATAAATAAAATGAAATTAAGGAATTAAGGAAACATTGATTTTTAAGTGTAATACGGTTATAATTTCAAAGGAGTGGTATAAAACAAAGTAAGCATTTTTAAACTGAGAACATTAGTTGAGGAGAGAAACCAATTTATTCTATGCTCACTTCTTAGAATATAGTGGTTCATAAATATATTTGAATGAATGAATGAATTCTTTATTGGTCAAGTGTGATTAGACACACAAGGAATGTGTCTTGATGCATATGCTCTCAGTGTACATAAAAAGAAAAGATACATTCATCAAGAATCATAAGATACAACACTTAATATAGTCATAGACAGAGGTGGTATTCAGCAGGTTCTGACCAGTTCTGGAGAACCAGTAGCGGAAATTTTGAGATATGACAGAACGTCAAATTTGAAGGTCTCTACTGTTGATACTGTGTTGTCTAGTATTGTAAGAGTGGTAATATGGGGAGGTTTCTCCTAAAGTCTACCACCATTTCTACGGTTTTGAATATGTTCAGTTCCAGATTGTTCTGGTTGCACCAGAAAGCTAGTTGTTCAACCTGACTATGCGCATTCATCGTTGTGTTGAATGAGACCAATCACTGTTGTATAATCTGCAAACTTCAAAAGTTTAACAGATGGATCATTTGAGATGTAGTCATTGGTGTATAGGGAGAAGAGAAGTGGAGTGAGCACACAGCCTTAGTGGGGTCCTGTGCTGATTTATATAGGTATCTGATGTGATTCTGCCAAGGTTCACCTGCTGTTTCTGTCTGTTAGAAAGCTTATGATCCACTTACAAGTGTGTTCAGGTACTACAAGCTGGTTTAGTTTTGTTAGAAAAATGTCTGGAATGATGATATTGAATGCTGAACTAAAGTCTACAAAGAGGACCCGTGTATAGGTATTTGGAGATTCAAGATATTGTAGGATATAGTGCAGAGCCATATTAACAGCATCATCTGTCGGTCTATTTGTTTGGTATGCAAACTGCATGGGATCTAACAGCGGATCTATGATGGTTTTCAGGTGGGACAGCACAAGCCTTTCAAAAGTTTTCATAACTACAGATGTTAGAGCAATTGGTCTGTAGTCATTCAGTTCCTTGATGGAGGGCTTATTCGGCATTGGGATGATAGTAGAGTGTTTAAAGCAAGAAGGAACATAGCACATCTCTAATGATTTATTGAAGATTCGGATGAAGATGGGGGCCAATTGGTCAACACAGACTTTTAAGCAAGAGGGAGTTATTTTGTGTGGGCTTGGTGCTTTTCCTGGCTTTTGTCTGTGAAATAGATCTTGCACTTATTTTTCTGTGATCACCAGGGGTTGGGGTCAGTTGTGGGAGGTTTGGCTGTTGGTACGTCTGAGATGGGGTCAGTTGTAGGAGGCTTGGCTGTTGTTGGTGTGTCTGAGATGGGGGTTGTGGAGATATAGGTGGCTATAGTTTCCTTTCAAACTTGCAGTAAAACACATTCAGGTCATCTGCCAGTTGTTGATTTCTTTCAGCCTGGGAAGGAGGTTTGCCGTTTTGCATTTTAATTTCACTTTGGGGATTTAACAAAATTGCTGTGTGTACTGTATGTGTGGTATCACTATTCTTCAAGAATAAAAGTAATTTAAAATAATAAAACTGAAACACTAAATGTTGGTTCTATTTCTCACAGCATGCACCTATGTGCAGAAAATCCAGGATCTTTAGCATTTCCAAGTAAACTTGCAAAAGATGTCTGACTGAAATCCTGCCCTCCCGCCATATATACATATGTACATCCTTATATCTCAAGGATTCTCCATTTGTTTTTCCATCTTCACTAAACATTTTATCAAGGTAGATTCCTTTATTTTATTAGTTCAAATTTATCATTGGGTAACTTGAAATTGGAAAACTGTAGTGCAGCAGTCTCAACGTTTTGACAACAGGGACCAGTTTCACGGAAGACAATTTTTCCATGGACTTAGGAGGCTAGTTATGGTTTTGCTCACTCACCTGCTGCTCACCTCCAGTTGTGTCGCCCGTTTCCTAGCAGGCCTAGTGGTTGGGAACTCTCCTGCAACATTTATATAGTTTTTATAATTGTATATAATTTGCATTGGCTATTAGGAGGCAATATATGACCAGATTCATTCTTATTGAACTTATTAAATATACACTGCCAGATCTTATTCTGTGGGCTTCAGACATACTCTGAAATTGAACTTATTGATTATTGTATTTTAATTAGATAAAGTGCATGAATGGTGTAATGTAAGCTTAGAGAAAGGTAGATGCCATTTTGATAACATCTCATCATTTCAAATTGTTCCCTCAGCTATCTCTGTCACATATTAACTACCTTTTTCTTGATACAATACATGAATTGGACTATCCATGTTCCTATTTAACATAATAACATATTTTCTATTCCCAATTAAACCTGTATCTTCACTTCCACGCATATATTTATCAACCCAGGGGGAGAACAGATCACTTTCTTCAGGTCAATTTTAATTTATATTATTATGTGGAAATTAAAATCTTTAATTTAGAGACTACTTTGCATGTCAACATAATGCTGTTCTCATCCTACCCATTCAGAAGTACAGTACATGATGTGTGTTGGCACAGTTCAGTTATAAAGCTCTATCTATAAGAAATATGGAGGATGCAGTAATCCCATTATGCTTATATATGTTTTTTTTCTTGATAAGATCACTAAGTATGCTTATCTTCAAAAGAGAAGTAAATTTTGTTCCGACATGGGACAGTAACATTAATCTTGGGGCTATTTTTATTATGTATATCTAGATCTTTTTTTCCAGTGATTTACAGCCAGAGGTACAGGTGGGTGGGTGTGGAAATCAGGATTTTCATGATGTTGAAATAACCTTTTTGATACTATAATTAATCTTAGCTACTGTTATTTATTATAACATATAATACAAACAAATGAATCACTAAGTTGGAATAAATTGCAATTTAATTAAAAGTTCTGAAATTGCACTTTGAAACTTTCATGTACTCAAGACATAGCTGAACTATATGAATCTTCAAGATTATAAAGTAAACTGCCTTCAGAATGCAGAGGAAAATTGATTTATTTGTGCAGCATAAAAGAGGATAGATTGCTTTAGTCATGAAGATAAGGGCTTTTTGTATATATGAGAAATAGGAAAGTTCTTTGTCTAAATGAGAAACACAAGATCTTTTTTAAACCTTAGAGACCATCTTTTCATAGCCTTCCATATTGTCTTTGAGACAGAATGACTTTGATCACTTTAATATAATGTTGACCAACATTGGCAACTTTAAGATTTGTGGATTTTAACTACCAGAATACTCCAGAGACATATGTGCTCTGCAGTATATTGTGTAACCCTCAGAAGCTTCTCTTTATCGTTCTTCCAAATTCAATTACTATACTATCTACTTCTAGTTTTATATTTAACCGTAAGGCTTTCAGAGGTTATGATATTCTTTTAATTTTTAAAAATGTTTCGGAATTCACTTTTATATCATAGATCAATCATGAAAATATGAGCTCTGGTCAGAAGCAGTCTCCCATGAAGCCCAATGAAAGGTTCCCCATTTCTTAATACTATTTATAGTAGTAAGAGAGAAAGTTGTTTTATAGCAGGTTTATGCCTGTGAGAATATGTTATCATCTGAACTCTGACAAGGCCTATTTGGAAAGATTTTGGCCATGGGATGCAAACAGAGAAGATTGAAAATGGCAACTTTGTGACCATTTCTCCCACCA